AAATGGGCGTGGTCAGGAGACATACGTGATCCCCCCGTTGCACTTTCAACCTTGGACCACGTGGCCCGGAGGGTGAATGACCTCATCTTCCAGATGCACGTGCGCAGGTGGGTGCGGCCCGGGCCGCTGCCTAAGCCGCCGCCCGCTATGCAGTCACCAGTTGTCATTGACGAGATTCTTGCCCAGCGCATCGCTGCGAGCACCCTCCCTCGGAGATGAAGTCCTCCCTCCTCGGCTTAGCGCGCAGATAATCGCGTCGGTTTTTCCGCCGCCGCCGTCTCGTCGTGCATGCCGTGTTGGGGGCCGAAGATTGATTTCCTTCCCTTCTCAGGAAGCGCATGCCTTGGCGTAGTTTCCGCGTGGTGTTCCCAGTTGCGGATCCGCCGTGCCTCATAGATGCCAAGCTGAGTCTTTGCCACTCCCCGGCGCTTTCGAGTAGGAAACGTGGTCTGCGTCCCAGCCTTCCTCCCTCTCGCTTGTCCTTAGCATTTTCCCTCCCTCCCTCCGTCCTTCTTCCCGAGTGCCCTGGACGGGCACAGCGAGTCATCTGTCGCCGCCTTTAGCGTTTGCCGTCCAGTTGCCTATTATGGGGGGGGCAGTGAGGATCGGGAAGGGCCTGGACTCCTTGCTTCGGTCCGACGCGTTCCGTCCGCTCTGTCGCGGGGGTCCCATCGTACTGCACTGTACTTGCGTTCTTGGTGCCCGTGCAGATGTTTCAGCTTTTTCGTTCAGCCAGCTTGTCTGCCTGCGCTTTAAAGCCATCTGCTAGCTGAGGGTAAGTTTAGGTCTGTTGGTGGGGACGAGGGTTGCACTGCGGAGTTGGTGCAGGCACGGGCAGCAGGTCGAGCGTGCGAATATCGTGCACTCCCGCAGGCCCCTGCCTTGCGCCAGCCCCCTAAGCTGGCTTTCGGCCCTTCGCAGGCCATCTCACCTGCTCCCCTCTTTGATATGCCTCCTCTTGCCTCCTCCCTCATCCTGCGGCGTTGTGATGCGCCCTGAGCGCCTTCAGACGATGAGGGGGGGGGGTAGGACAGGACGGGGGCGGGGAGATTCACCAAACCTTGGCGCCCGTGCTGCATGTACGCACTGTTGCAGCAGCTAGTGAGTGCCGCACTAAGCTGACCGTCTCCTCGGCGAATCAGAGCGCAATCCAAATCCTCCTCCTCCTCCTCCTCCTCCTCCTCCTCCTCCTCCTCCTCCTCCTCCTCCTCCTCCTCTTCCTCCCTCTCCTCCTCCTCCTCCTCCCCCTCCCTTTCCTCCTCCTTTTCCTCCTCCTTTTCCTCCTCCTCCTCCTTTCCTCCTCCTCCTCCTCCTCCTCCTCCTCCTCCTCCTCCTCCTCCTCCTCCTCCTCCTCCTCCTCCTCCTCCCCCGCCCTCTCGCCCTCGACTCCCACTCCGTCCCTTTCCGCCCTGGGGTAGCGGCGCGGATCGCGAGCTTAACCCCCCGCGCCCCCTCTGTGCTGCGCGGCGCGGAAGCGCCACGCCAGAGTGCCCCCGCCGCGGCCCCTGCTGTCTGCTGCGCTCCTAGGCGTCGACGTCCGCGCCCGAATTGCCCCCCCCGCGGCTCTCCCGACTCGACTGTGGGGGGGCGGGGGTACAATAGATTCGGATCTCGCCACGAGTGCGACGACTTCCGGACCGCACCGCCCCCGCCGCGCAGCGAGCTGCCGCAACCGTCGGTCGGCGAGGGTCGGCTTCGGACTTCGCCGCCGAGCTCCGCTGCAGCGCCCCTGCGCGTGGCGGCGCCGGGCAGAGCCGGCAGAGGCCCGCGGCGGGTCCCGAACGCGCGCCGGCAACCGAGAGGCCGCGCGCCGCAGCCGCGGCGCCCTGACAGGCGCACGGCGCCTGCTGCTCTCGGCGACTCGCCGCCAAGGGGCAGAGAGCGCGCAGGAGCCGCTGCGGGAGGAGCCCGAGCCTGAGCACGAGATGGACCCTGAGATCCTGGCGTCTCAGTTTGCTGATCCGGGCGTTCTCGCCCAGTTGGAGGCCCCGGGGCCCTCACAGATCGATCCAGCTCGGAAAGAACGGCGCGGAGCGAGGGGGTCCAGGGCTCTGGCCCTGACTTGTTTACGAGGTTTCAATCTCGTCGCGCTGCCGGATCTCTCGCCATCACTCGAACGTCCATTCCCCGTGCATTCTGCGATTCCGTGCGTGTTTGTTTGGGGGGGGCAAGATGACCCAGAATGCTCTTCGATGCTCCTCGCCGAGCAAATATGCACACGTCCGAGCAATGCCAAGGATTGAAGCATCGTGGACAAATCATGACCGCAGCCCCAGACTAAAACTTTCTGCGGCATGGTTCGAGCCGGATCGATCTGTGAGGGTCCTGGAGCTCGAAGCTATGCGAAAACGCCGGGCTCGAAGAAGTCGAGGCGCCAGGATCGCAAGGACCGTCGAGTCGGGTGGGCGGGAAGGGGCGCAGGCGCCGCGCGATTGGGGTCTATGACGCGGAAGATTCCGTGGCCTCGTGTCGATTTCCGCGCAGCCGTGCACGTGGGCGCCTGTCAGCTCCCCCTCCTCCTCCTCGTCCTCGACTTCACCCTCCGCCTCCTCCTCCTCCTCCTTCTCCTCCGCCTCCTCCTCCTCCTTCTCCTTCTCTCCTCTGTGCTGCCACGCGGCCACAGGCTTGAACTGGGCAGGGATAACATATCTTTACTCCGCCTGCTTATAATCACGATTCTCCCTTGTTCCCCTGTCCCCTTTCCTCCTCATGCTCCTTTCCTTCCAATCCTCCTCATCCCCCCAATATTAGTATCCACATCCCGTGCTTCTCCTCATCCCTAACCCATTACCACACATCGTCACCTCATGCTGTAATCATCCTCCTCCTCCGTCTCGTCATCATCGTTGCCTTCCTTCGCGTCCCCCATCTCTTCCTCCTCCTCCTCCTCCTCGCCCCTCCACCTCCAGCATACTTGTCAGCATCATCAACAGTCCTTCCTCCTCGCGTTACTCCCACAACTCCCCCTCCTCTCTCAGCGCTTCTCCAGTTTCGTCATCCTCCACTCTGTTCTTCTCCTCGCCGTCCTGTTCCATCTGGTACACATGTGCATTCGTCGTGATTTGCGTCTGCGCATTGCAGTTTGGAGTCCAACCCCCTAGTCGTATCAGATGCCTGTGTATGCACATAGCATGCCACTCAGCCCAGTGAAGGCAAGCGCACGACACGGGCGCGCAGGCGCACGCCGGCGCGGGCATGTTGTTTTTGATAGACTCGATGCCCAAGGGTCGCCTGACAGACACCAGAGCTCCGCGGTGGGCAGCGCACCGCGAAACGCACGAGCTCCAAGCAGCGCGGAACACGCCTCAAGCCAACCAGCAACGAGAAAGCCCGAGCTGGGGACTGTGGCCTCAAGCGGTGGCCATCGCCAACATGGCAAGGCCCCGTGAACGGAGGCATCGCAGACGGGGACACTGTCAGAAGGGCGGGGACGAGTAGGAACGGAAGGGGATTCCTTGGTTCCGCGGGGGGGCCTGCCCCCGGGCAGCATGGCGCGGGGGGGGGGGACGATGTCCCTGTCTGTCCATGGACCTTGGGACCTCAAACAGCACATCACTGCGAGAGTTGCGATGAGCCATGGCTGGTGTGTCGAGACAATTCCTGGCTACTGCGGGATGGAGCGAGCGTTGCTCTCCGTGCCTCCGCTGCCAGATACTAAACTTAGGTCTGGCATGCCCTCCTACAGGCGGGTTTCGGACGATATAAAAATGTTCAAACAATGGTCAACAGTAGCCGAAACTAGTCCAAAAGAAACGTCCCCAGCCTATGCTCTGACCAGTTTTGAACTATCCTCCTGTAGAGGGACACGCCCGACTTAATACTACCCCCATGCCCACGATAATAATGTACCCCCCCTATACACATCAGAGTTGATTCCACGGCCAATAAGAGTTTGGTCGGGGACGCGGGGCGCGGAGGCCGAACTTCATTATCACGGGGAAAAGTTCGCCATCGAGGTTACTTCCTTCTTATGCTGAGAAAGCAACATCAAGCGAAGCGAACACGTTGTTCAGGATATCTCAAGCGAAACCAATAATTTGGGGAGGCAGCCTCAAACGAAACGATCAATGCTTCTTTCTCCTCCTCCCCGTGGCCCCTGAACTCGTTTATCGCTGTGCTTGATTATCCAAGGAAACCGAGGCAGATGACCTACCCTACACGAGCAGATGAAAATTTTAATGTTCATTAAGCGCTTACAAATTAAATCTAATAAATTTTGAACTTTGGAGTTTTGCTATCTCCTTCTCCTCTCCTCCTCTTGCTGTTTCTCCTCGTCCTCCTCCTCCTCCTCCTCTTCTTCCTCCTCTACCTCCTCTTCTCTTTCTATATGTATATTTATCTCTCTATTTTTCTTCTCCTTCCCCTGCCCCCCTGAACTTGTTTATCGCTGGAGTTTACGATCCATGGAACTCGTTAATGGGGCCGACGCAAGCGTCAATTCATTTCTATAACAAATAAGAACAAACTCATAGAGATCGATAAGGAATCCACAGGAATCTAAATAAACCCAAAGGAATGGATCGAAATCTATAAGTATTCATATAGAAATTTATAAGGATGTAGAAACATCCATAGGGATGTAGAGAAATCGATGGGGAACCCACAAATCGATCGAAATCTGTTGAGGATGTTTCAGAGAGGACCAAAAGCCAAGGATGTCTCAAGAAACCCTCGGCTTTGGCTCCTCTGTGCACATCTTTATGCTGGCCTCTGGTGGGCAACTATTATTATCACCCCGTAACCGCCGAACTTTCTTATCTCTGGGGGGGTATTCTCGGGAGCATGAGGTTAGACTCCAACACGTGGAGAGCGATACTGATGTAGGGGGCCACATGCGAACCCTACCCCTACCCCCCATGATTTCTGAGGGGGAGGGTGGGGTTCACTTCGCTCGAGGGCTCCCGAACGAAGTGAACCCCCCACCCTCCCCCCCCGAAATCGGGGGGGGGGTAGGGGTAGGGTTCGCATGTGGCCCCCTATGATGACCTGTCCTGGCCAACTCACGAGGCGTGGCCGCTGGACCCTGCGAGCACGGCGGCGAACAGTGGGACGGCCTTCACTGCCATCTGGGCGATCAGCGTGGTGCACACAGCAACGGCGAATACCGTCGGGGCGTTCGGGCTGTTGAAAACGGATTCGAGCGCCTTCCCGGCCTCCACGGCCTTGACGCGTGAAAGGTGGACGAACACGGCCCACCACATGAAGCCGAGCGCCACGGTGATCATGAAGAGGCCGTAGCACCCCAAGGAGTAGGCGCTCGAACTGGTGGCGTTGAGCAGCCCGCCCGCAGCGGGCTCTGCCTCGCCGAGGCTGAGGCTGTACCTCCACAGACCGATGCCCATCACGGCGAGCATGACGGTCGTGCTCACCCACTCCAGGAAAGTCCTCTCGGAGGCCAGGAAGTCCTTCGGCTCCAGGCTCTGCTCCTGCACCACTGGCACCGGGGGCCCGGAGATGGCCGCCGGTGCGGGCGGTGGCTTCGGGTCGCCGGGCGCGGGCCTGGAGGTGGGCACGGCAGCAAGGGCACCCGGGTGCGCGCTGGTGCTCCTGCGGACCTCCAGCTTGAGGCCCCACGTCTCAGGCGGCACAGAGGTCTCTATGGAGGCGAAGTTCTGGTACCAGTCTGGCGGCTTCACCTCGTCCTTGTGCAGCGCCGCCACCGCATGAGCGCCGATGCTGAAGCCCTCGACGCTTCGCATGGCGCCGTATCTGCGCAGCTCCTCGAGCCAGTCGCCAGAGACCTCGCCACTGTCGGAGGCTACCTCAAGAAGGCAGTATGGGAAGTCCACAGCTTCGTCTGGGGTGTCCCCAGGGGTGCCGAGGCTGAACTGCAAGTCCTTGTCCACCGCGATCGAGATCCCCTGCGCCATGGGCCCGTCGCCGCGCAGCAGCACCCGGTCCCCGCGCACAGTCGCCGCCACCTGGGCAGAGCCCATGGCGTCGAGCATGGAGCTCACCTCTCTCCCGAAGGCCTCGAGCTGACTGCAGCCCTCGTCCCCCAGCGAGGCGGCCTCCTGCATGCCCGGGCCGGCCATCACGGCCGCGGCCGCCCTCCTCAGCTGCTTGACGTCGTCGTCGGCCACCTCCAAGGCCGCCGGGTAGAGCCGGAAGGCGTCCGGGGACCGGAACGTGGCCACCGGGGTGAACGCGTGCACGCCCAGCGCGGACGCCGCCCCGTCGCGCTCCACCAGCTCTCCGCTGCCAGCAGGGCCTCCGGCGCCGACGGCCTCGCTGGCGGATCGGCGGAGGCGGAAGCCGGCGGGCGAAGGGCCGCCGCCGGCGAGGCGCGCCGCGTAGCACGGGAAGCCGGGCCCGTCGAGGTAGGTCAGCGTCGTCTCGGCGGACAGCACGATGTTCTGCTTGCCCACGCCGTCGGGCGTGAGCGAGTTGAGCAGCTTCTGCTGCTGCTGCTGCGTCGTCTCGCCCGCCCCCTCCGGAGCGCTGAAGGGGCTGTCCTGGGGCGGGAGCACCACCTCGAAGCGCTTCACCAGGCTGCACAGGGCCCGCATGCGCTCCGTCGGCAGCAGCAAGAACGAGCTGGTGGTGCTCGCCTTCCTGACTTGCGCAGGCTGCGCAGGCGTGCCGCCGCGCCGGAAGCGCCGGATCGACGCGTAGCCCCAGGCCAGCGACAGCAGGTGCGAGTCGAGGGGCGTGGCGATGAAGAACTCCCGCTGCAGCTGGAGCACGAACCAGAACTCCAGCTTGGTGCTCCCCGCACCGACCTGCTCGAGGCGCTTGTCGAACTTCTTCACGATCTTGCGGAAGCCAGTGAAGTTCACGCGGCGGAACTGCTCGAGCTGCACGAGCTCCTCGGCGGCCCTGTCGAGCAGCTTCTCCGCCGCGGCCAGCGCCTCCTCGCTCGGGCCCTGGCCCTCGGGGAAGAGCAGCGGGTGGTGGGCCTCCCGGAGGGTGTCGAGCAGCGTCCGGAGCTGCAGCGAGGCGAAGCGGTTCACCTTCTGAAGCTCGTGCTGGAGCAGGTGGTGGAAGCGGGAATCGGCCGGGCGCGCGACCGCGGAGAGGTGGCCGCTCTGGTCCCCGAACTCCTCCGTGACCGCCGCGATGTCCGCGCGGATGTCCGGCGTGCCGCCCTCCTGGGGCGCGTCTGGCACCACGACGTTGATGGCCTTCTTGAGCACGTCGTAGGCGATGTAGTGGTTGAGGTGCGTCGGAGCCGCCAAACGCTTGATCTGCTTGCCGAACTTCATGGCGCCCGCGTCGCGGCTTGGCGCCGGATGGCGGCTGCGAGCGGTGTCAGATGCCCGGGACCCCGCCGAAGCCGCTGGAATCGCTTCAGCCAAAATGGCCACGGGCCAGCGCGGGCAAACTTTGGCAAGCACGCGAGCTAGACGCCAAGCGAGTAAGTGATCACTTACAGGCTCAACATCAAGCAACCAATGGACGTTGGTAGAAATCTAGACTCTTATGAGCTGGTGAGGATGATGAGGTGGTGGAAGGTTTGAAGTTGGAGGAGGGGGATGAGATGGCGGCAAACTTCGAGGTGAAGGCGGAGGAAGACCAGGCGGGGGAGGTGGACAGGGAGGGGAAGGACGCAGGTGCAGAGAACGAACGGGAAGATGAGGGACACGTGGTGGATGGCCAGCGAAGGAGCAACAGGATGATGAGGACGAGGTGTAGCTGGCGGACCTCGCTCCGACCCAAGCAACTGGGCCACCGTGCCACGCGAGCAGCCTGCCGAGGCCTCCCGATGACCCCCCTTCTTGAGGCCCTTCGAAGGGGGGGCGGGGCCGCAGCCAGGCCCCGGGCCGTGGCCCTGGCCACCCCGCCGACCCCCTGGCAGGGAACCACCTGCGAACCCCACCCCTGCAAGCTAGATTTCTGGAACACCAGGGGGGGGAGAGGGGGCAGCGAACGGAACCGGGCGAACCGAACCGGCCGAACCGGACCGGTCTGCGACGCGAGCCGAACCGGTCGAACCGAACCGGTCTGCGACGCGAACCAAGCCGCCCTGGGCGCACATCGAGCCGAACCGAACCGCACCGCGGCTTCCACGCAGAAGAGGCAGGAGGTCTGCAGCCCGCTGCACCCCATACCCCCGACGTCCTGATGTTTTCGCGACGCGATCCCCACAGGTCCGGACCCACTCCCCGGGGCCGGCTGTTCATCCTGAGTCGTTTTTTGTTGAGGGTCCCGAGGCGCGGTGGGAGCCCCCAGAGGCGGAAAACAGCGAAACACCTCCCGTCGTGATTTTCCCATGGCCCGAGGGGCTCTGGGACCCCAGCGCCGATCGGACACGCAGGGATGGCCACAGACTGGGGCCCTCGCCCCAGACTCGGCCCCGCCAGGAGCGCGAGGCCCTGCAGCTCCCGCCGCCGCCCGCGCCACCCTCCCCACCTGCCGCGGCCACCGCCGCTGCCTCGGACGGGCCCGAGGACCGAAACCCGCCTCCCCCGTGGCCCCTGCCACCTCCCCAGACATCGGGCTGCTCCCACTTTTGTTCGATGCGTGGGCCCCGCGGAGGTCCACACCACTTCCCCGGGACCGTTGTTTCGTCTTATGGGTTGTTTCTCGACGCTCTCGCGAGGCCTGGCGAGGGCTCCCGGAGGCCGAAAGCTGCCAAAATCCCGCCGCTCCGATTTTTGGCGGAGCGTTGGATCTCAGGGTCGCCAACGCCCGTCGCGCCCTCGCGCCTGACCCAGCCCCGCCAAGGACGCGCGGCCGCTGCACCTCCCGCCGCCGCCGCCACCGCCGTTGCCTGCCGCGGCCGCCGCCGCTGCCCGCCGCCATCGCTGCCGCCACCGCCGGCCTCCCCGCTGGCCGCCCAGACCACCTGGAGGCCTCCTAAAGAAGGTCCGAGTAGATGGGGTCGGAGGAGCGCTCCTCCCCCATCCCCAGACTCCCGACGTTATGATTTTTTCATGACGCGACCGAGGTCTGGACCCATTCCCTGGGACCGGTTTTTCATCCTGAGTCGTTTTTTGACGGTCCCGAGTCCCGGTAAGGGCCCCCAAGGCCGAAAATACTGAAAAACCTCATGTCGTGTTTTTTTCATGACGCGAGGGGGTCTGGGTCTAACCCTTGAAGGCAATCGCCCCCCCCCCCGCCTCACCCCCATCATCGAAACTTACAGCGCTTCGGGCACTGGGGCCGGGGCGAGCAGCATCCCCCAGCAGAGGCCCGCGACCGAAGATCCTCTGGGCGGGCAGGAGGAGCAGGAGGAAGGTTCCGACGACGAGCTTCCTCTATGGTCCTATGGAAGCCAGGAGATTCCCTCACCAGGCGCTCAGAGCTGGGGATCCTCCCCGAGACAGTTGGAGGGAGAATTGCGTCAGCTTCAAATGTGGCTCCTTTGAGATTCCTGAGGTTCCGTCGAAGTTTCTCTGACGATGCTGTTAGGCACCCTGGCCTGATGACTCGTTATGCGCAAGTCTGCTTTGTTGTTTAAGTTATGGTTCCAGGAGGGCTGCTGACTTATGCAGCATTATTCGATGTATTCCCATGTTGTCGAAATTATTACATTATACCGAACAGTAAGAGGAATACACATAACTATGTGATGTTCATATGTTCTACTGCATGATCGCCAAGCATACACCATTGAGAATGTCACCCATTACTTTAATCAGCCGACCCTTCGGCGTGTGTGGGACGTTTTTCCGTTTGAGTCGTCGTCGTTGATGTCATCGCCGTCGTCGTCGTCGTCGTCGTCGTCGTCGTCGTCGTCGTCGTCGTCGTTGTGGTCGTCGTCGTAGTGGTCGTCGTCGTCAGTCTCAAGGAAAAACTGAAGAACAAAGAAAAGGAACGTCGGAGCTGAGTCGTTTCCCTTCCCTTTATCCCTTCCCTGCTTGGGGGGGGGAGCGGACGGGGGTGGTCCTGGGTCAGAGTGCCGCTCCCCGCCAGGGCCCTGGCGGTTCCCGGGGGGGCAGGGGGTCCCGGGTCAAAATGCCGCCCTCCCCCGGGGTCCTGGCGGGTCCCAGTGAGTCGGAGATCCTCTGACCCGGGTCAATCCAGACCCGGGTCAGCAGGAAACCAAAAACTGCAATGCGGGAACAAAGAAAAACTGCAACGCAGGTCTTCGCAAACCCGGGTCAGCCAATAATGCGCGGCCGCCTCGCGGCCACGAGCGGCTCGCTGACCCGGGTCAGCCAGAGTGGGTCGTCGCAGGATCCTGCAAGAGTAGGCGCCCGGGCTGACCCCCGTTTGCATTGACCCCCGTCTCTTGAGCCCCGAATGAGGTGGGGAGGGGGGGACCCGGGTCAGAATGCCGACCCCCCCACCCCGGGTCCCAGCGGCTCCCGGGGGGGTCGCCAGCGAGGGGTCCCTGGGGAGGTCTCGCATTCAGGATCGGCGGCAAGGGCCGCAGGGCCTTGACAATACGGATACTGGATCTAGCAAGTTGATTTAGTCCTAAAACACAGCATATGACGTAGGTGAAAAAACAACAATACGCTGTGAGCAATATAGTTTCATTGGACATGGCATATCCGTTTATATGTTGCTTTGCATAAGCATAGCTTCTGTTGTACAAACTCATATCCGAACATGGCATACCTTCACGTGCACACTGCTGAATTATATTCGCCGGCCCAACGGGCCAGAGGCGTGCTAAGATCTCCGGTAACTACTTAACAATATTTCTAGTTCGCGCGCGCGGGGCGGCCCATGGGGGGCCCCGGACGAAAAATACCCGGGCCGATCTTCGGCCGGGCCCCGGGCGATCCCCAGGGGGGAGGCTATTTTTCGCCACCGCTCACGAGGATCGTGGCCTCCGAGGGGGGGACTGCAATCGACTACCCCCCATCCCGCCCCAAGGGGCCCCTAGAGCCCCCCAAGAGGCCCCAGGGGAGCCCAATACGCCGCCAAGGAGCCCCAAGACGCTCCCAAGAAGCCCCCAAGAAGCCCCCAAGACGGCCCCAAATAGCGCTCCAGGGCCGGCGGAACGAGCGAAGCGATTACCTAGACATGTAGTCACATGATATTGAGTGTGTTAGTGGCATGTCAGACTTACTGTATTCACTTTACTATTTCGAATGAGCAATATGACGGAATATCCGCGCGACCGCTGGAGTGTGTCTTTGATCCATGTGCTAAGATATCCCGGCGGGTTCGTGGAATCCGTCTGCGATATCCCTCCGTGGACCCTCCCATCGGATGCCCTGAACTAATCAACGTCTGGATTGGAATCGCAATCAGGGATTGCCTGAGTTCACGCGAACCCGCGTGCTACAAATTCCGTAAATTCCCCGGGGGGTCCTTGGAATTTCAGTTGAGACTCCTACTTAAGACATTCCTCGAGGCGAAATTAACCAAGTATCACGATTTACTATATTTACCTATACGACAACCCTTTTGAGGAGATTCGGGGGGGAAGGAACCAACGTTTCACTCGATCGGTCTCAATATCGATCTCACTATCGATCTCACTATCGGTCTCGCTCGATCGATCTCACTCAATCGCTCTCACAATCGATTTAACTCGGTCAAATTCATTCGATCGATCTCACAATCGATCTGACACATCCGGTCTCACGATCGATTTCACTATCGATATCACAATCGATCTCACAATCAACGTCATCGCAATCAACGTCATCGAAATCGTCATCATCGGGGCACCATCATCATCACCACCTCGTCACCATGACCATCCACATCATCATCATAACCATAATCACCATCATCATCGGGACACCATCATCGTCATCATCATCACCAACATCCTCATCATCGGGACACCATCATCATCGGAACTCCACCCTCATCATCATCATCATCATCATCATCATCATCATCATCATACTCATCATCATCATCATCATCTCATCGTCATCATGAACAACATCAACATCATCAACATCATCGCGACACCATCATCATCATCATCATCATCAGCAACACCATCATCATCATCATCATCATCATCATCATCATCATCATCATCATCATCGGGGCACCATCATCATCGTCACCATCATCATCACCATCATCATCATCATCATCATCGGGACACTATCATCAGCATCATCAACATCAGCGTCATCATCATCATCATCATCATCATCATCATCATCATCATCATCATCATCTGCGGGCCACCATCATCAAAATCACCATCATCACCTCATCCTCATCCTCATCATCAACATCATCATCATCGGGACATCATCATCGTCATCATCATCAACACCATCATCATCGGGGCACCATCATCATCACCATCATCATCATTAACAGCATCATCACCAACCGCATCATCAACATCATCATCATCATCATCATCATCATCATCATCATCATCATCATCATCATCATCATCATAGGGACACCATCACCATAATCGGCATCTTCATCATCATCTTATCATTCCATCATCATCAACAGCAGCATGATCATCAGCATCATCATCATCATCATCGGGACACCATCATCAGCAACATCCTCATCATCAAAATCATCATCATCGGGGCACCATCATCATCACCACCATCACCATCATCTTATCATCCTCATCATCATCACCATCGACATCGTCAACATCATCATCATCATCATCACGATCATCATCATCATCATCATCATCATCATCATCATCATCATCATCATCATCATCATCATCATCATCATCGGGACACCGTCATCATCACCACCATCACCATCACCATCACCATCACCATCACCATCACCATCACCATCACCATCATCATCATCATCATCATCATCATCATCATCATCATCATCATCACCAACATCATCGACATCATCATCATTATCATTGGGACACCGACGGGACACCGACGGGACACCGGCGGGACACCGCGGGCCACCAGCCCCCGGAAAAGAATCATTTGGTCCGGCCGCGCCTCAGCCAGAAGCGGAGGCGCCGGCGGGACACCGCGGGCCACCGGCCCCCGGAAAGGAATCATTTGGTCCGGCCGCGCCTCAGCCGGAGGAGACTTTCTTTCTCGCCCGCCCACGCAGCTTCGCCTCGCCCGCACGCACGGCACGCACGAACACGAAACCGAGGGGGGCTCTCCGTTCCACTTCGATCTCACCCCCTCACCTCCGATGGTGCTAACGATACGGCCGGTGGATGGGGCACTGTTTGCTTCCTAAGGTCACTCCGACCCCATCTGGGAGGCCCAGACTTCGGGGTCCCGCAACCGCGTGGTGACGGACCGCGTGATGACCTCGGAAGCCCCATCAGCCTCACCGCGCGGTCCGTCCGCGCGGTTCTGGGGCCTCGGAGGCCCAGGTCGCCCGAGAGTCGTCCTCGGAGAACGACTGAGGCCCCCAAACCGCGTGGTGACCCCGAACCCCGACTGCCTCACCATGCGGCGTGGTCACCACCACTCGGAGACGGCCGATGGGCCTGAACTGGATGGGCTCCCAGAAATCAGTCCAGACGGGCGGATCAAGGCGAATCCGAACAAAATTGGTTCCCAGGCGGATCCATCAGGTGTAGTTTTACACCCTGGACCCGTTTTTGACTGTCCTGCATGCCCCGAGAACCGAGAACGGTCCCCTGAGGGCGAACAAGCCAAAAACCTGGTCGAGCCCAGCACCTGGAACCTCGCCCCCCCTTCCTCCTTGCCGGAGCCAGCACTGGGCCACCTCATGACTCCCAGCCGACGCCGAGCTCCAAGTCACCACACCGTTTGGGGGCCCCGATAGGCCACTGCCCTCCCTGCCCCCCCCCCCGCGCGCGGGTCCTCCTGTGCCGGGCTGCCGAGGTGACTGCGTGGCCCGGCCGGGCACAGCGCCGGGGCCTCTTGCGCGGCGCGGCGGGCCCGCCGGTGGGGCTGGTCCCGGTGCCGCCTTCCTCCTCGCCCTGCTCTCTCCCCCCCTCTCTCCCTCAAGTGGCGGCGTCCGAACCGTTCCCCCGCCAACCATCGGTTATCCTGAGTCCGTGGGGGGCGGGGGTGGGGTTCGGATTTCGCCACGTGCTCGACGCATTTCGAAGCCCATCCCCGCCGCCCATCGAGCTGCCTGAATCGTTGATCGGCGAGGGCGGGGTTCGAGTTTCGCCGCCGACCTCTGCCGCAGTCCTCCCGCGCGTGCTCACAATCGGCGAACGACCTTTGGGGGCATTGTGGCCCCTCCCCGAGCCCAGCACTCCGACGATATGGTTCTTGGCAGCCAGCATTTGTTCTTCGGTTTCGGCCTCTCGGGCCCACTACAGTCGGATTTGATTGGAAAGGGCACGCGAGAGGACACAAGACCCTTCCGAGGGCCACGTTGCCACAGAAATGTAGGAGGCATGGGTCGCGAGACACAGGACACGAGGGTACTCTTATCTGGCAGGGTCGACCTACTAATCCGGGCCGCCTGTATCGGTCCCCAGGACCATGAAAAATGGATCTGGGGCGAAACACTACGCTGGGGGCAGGCACCCTGGGGCCGCGGATGAGATTGTGTGTTGTGGTAGAACACTGCTCGGTGGATGCCAAGGAGTCCAAGGACCCATTCGCCAGGGCCCGTCCAGCAGTCTGGGAGGGGGGGGATCTCGCCACTCCGGTCAAAGGTGTCGAAGGGCGAGAGGGTGACATCTGCTCCAAAAGTGCTCCAAGACGCCCTGAGATGGCTGCAGATGGCCTCCCAGATCGCGCAAGACGATCAAACTTCGTCCTTACTGGCCTCCAGCGTGGGTCCGAGAGGCCTCGAGACGACCCCAAGGCGGCTCGAGGTGGTCAAAACCCTTCAATCAGCCCAAACATCTGATTTACCCGAAATTGTTGTACGGCTTTGGCATACTCGGTCGGCTGGTCTGTCTCGAGACTGTCCAAGACGGGCCACATGCCAATCGAGAGGGGGGCTCTAGGCGGCAGAAGACGGCCTTGAGGAGCCCCAGAGAGATCCTGGAGGGCCTGAGCGACACAGGAGGGGGAAGAGAGAGCGAAGGGAGGGAGGAGGGAGAGAAGACGAGTCACGATGAGGAGGGTGGAGGGAGGAGGGGAAGAGATGGGGAGCAGACACACGAGGACAACGAGCGGGGAACATGGAACGAGAGAGGACGAGAAGGATGGAGGACGGAGAAGAGATGATGGAGGATGGGGGGAGGCCCGGACGGAGAAGTATGAGGATGAAGACAATACTGAGACATACGATGATTGAAATGCGAATGCTGATAAACCCGAATGAAGAGCCAGGTGCGCGGAAAAAAGGGGGGCGGACCCGTAGCAGGATGGGGCAGGGTGAGCAGGATGATAACTCCCAGAGGGCAGGGAGGTCGGGGAGGAGGGAGGGGAAGGTTGTTGTCGGCGCGCGCAAGGGGGTAGGGGAAGGGCTTCTTCGAAGGAGGCTGCTTCTTAGAAGGCGCCGGCCTTGCATCTCTAGAGAAGGCCCGCGCCTTCTGAGAAGCAGGTCCCTCCTCCTCCTCCTCCTCCTCCTCCTCCTCCTCCTCCGCCTGGGCCTCCTCCTCCTTCTCCTCCTCCTCCTCCTCCGCCTCCTCCTCCGCCTCCGCCTCCTCCTCCTGCGCGTGGCCGAGGACGGCGAGGATGGCGAGCGCCCGCGGGAACGTTCGGGGCCCTCGGCTGCCGGGGGCGCGGGAGAGGCTGCCCCTGCGGCGGCCCCGGGGCCCCGCCGGGGGGCCCCGCGGCCTCGAGGGGCCGGGGCACGGGGAGAGCGCGCAGCGCCTGGGCCTGGCGGGTGAGAGGCCTCCCCCCCTCGGCGATGGGCGAACCACCTCCCTCTGTGAAGGTGCCCTGGGACGCACACACACACACACACACACACACACACACACACACACACACACACACACACACACACACGCGCACGCACGCACGCACGCACGCACGCACGCACGCACGCACGCACGCACGCACGCACGCACGCACATACACACACACCAAAAAAAATTACACACAAAGAACAGGATTCCCCACATCTTCCAATCTTTTCGGGGTGTTTGTCTTCCCCCCCCACGTTCCATAATTTCCCATCTTTTGCCTGGGAGTGGACGATTGATTGTGTCTGTGTGTCTTTCCCCCTCCTGAACCTCCCTTTGGTAAACCACCCTGTAGTGAAAACGGCCCAGGTGTAGGTCGGGCCTGTCCCTCTACAGGCCGATTTTGGACGACAAATAAAAAATACAAAAAAACAGTAAACATACTCCAAAAATTGTAAAAAATAGTCCCCGTACTATTTTTTGACTATTTTTGAATATCCCCCCCTGTAGACGAACGGGCCCGACTTAAGCCTAGGACCGAAACCGACGGACCTGAACCCGCAACAACGACGGCCGCGACGCCCTCTCGCGAACCGAAGACGGCCCATTCGCTGATCGACGTGTCAGGGTCGGTCTGTCCGCCCCCGACCCCCCCAGAAGGCAGAGGGTTGACCTCACTCAGGAGCCGCGCCTGGACGGCGCATCGGCTAAAACACAACTGAACTAACACGTCTGAGAGCGGCTACTGCTTTTTCTTTATAAAAAAAGGACGCGGGGGTGGACCACTGCAGATGACCAGCGCGACCGGGCGAATGTGAAAACACGGGCTAAGCCCCACTGGGCACACGCCGTAACGGTCTGGACGGCCAGCGCGTGCCAACTACGTGAAAACATAATTCCCTCAAAAATGGTCCCTCTGGGTCCGCCGGGGGACGCGCCCCGACCAGGAGAAGGAGGTGGAGGAGGAGGTGGAAGAGGAGGAGGAGGAGGAGGAGGGACGAGGGAGAGAGAGAGGGGGAGCGACGGACTGGCAAAACAAAGAGCTGCGGCGGCTGTTGCGGACTTCCCTTTCGCGCCCACGCCGACTAGTCTCGGGCATGCGGCTTTTAACAAAGCCTGCGCTGCAACGGCGTCGATACTCGAGGCGGAAATTCGAGCAGGTATCCGCCTGCGCAGTAGGGAAGAAGGACGGAGGAGGGAGGGTGAAGGGGGAGCATGAGGCGAAGGGGCAAATGCGCTGTGCGGATAACCCCTGCGGCCCAAACGGCCATTCATATAAACCAAAAGCGCAATCCAGAGGGGATGAGGGAGGAGAGGAGGAAGAGAGAGAGAGAGAGAGGGAGAGAGGGCACGATCCAGCAACAAAAATCGACTACACGAGCACAGCCCATTGGCTCCACGAGCTGGCACGACAATCCAGAAGTAAATAGCGGCGCTGGTAGCCGCCCCCTGGGTGCGAAGCACTCGCCAGAAAAGATAGCAGTGATGCGGGGGGTGGCCCCCTTGGAGCTCGGAGCTCGACCACTGGTAACCTCGGTGCAAATGTCGCGCGAGGGTGATCAGCAGGGCTCCAGTGAAGGAGGGTGACCAGCAGCGCTGAGGATTGACCAGAGGAAGAAAACACGGTATGAGCGGCAGCAGCATAAAAAGTCGGAGGTCCGCGCGAATTTCTAGAGGCCTCCTGGATGGAGATAGAGGCCGAGTAGATGAGGTCGGAAGATCTCGCCTCATCGCCGATACATCGGCGATGCATCGCCCATGCATCGGCGATGCATCGGCCATGCACTGGCGACGTCGACGATGCATCGGCGACGTCGACGTGGAGAAAAGTGGGACCCACATCGGGCCGCATCGGCGATTCATCGGCGATGCATCGCCGATGCGGCGCGATCCTCCGACCCCATCTACCCGGACCCCTTCTGGGATGCCTAGAATTTCTTGGAGCTGCGCTTGGCCCCGCCTGGCGGCGCCTCCAGCACCGCCCCTGGCGCGCCAGGGAAAGGGCTTCAACGGCGATGCCGTTTCGTGTGTTTTCGACTGACGGTCAGCAACATACATGCCCAAATGCACCGCTTTGGTTAATAAGCAATTCCCTGGAGGTTTTCGCAAGACCAATCGAAATCTATCAAGCCCGGTTTGGACGCCACTAAGCCAAATTTGCCCGGACCATACCGGATTCGGCGGGATAACCCAAGACTGCGCCTGACTGATTGGCATTATGCCGAATTGGGCCGGTTTTTGACCAAGGATTTACAAGAGCCGATGCTGAGATTGAGCTCCCAAGAGTTGACGCCCAACTTTCAGAAAGATGACATCTTCCAACCTCCGTTGTTTATTTTTGTGGCACCGCCCAATTCACGCTGGTTTGCTGGGTCTCCTGTCGGCAGTGCGGGTGGGGGCAAAACCCAAGCAGTGAAGAACATATCATGATAAACTGTAGAATCTAAAAGATTCGGTCGCCCACCCGCCGCAACTGTACGAGCACACCTCCAGCTCAAAGACGGCCGGTCTTGAGAATCAGCCTGAGCAGGAACACGCCAATTTGCTTAGCGGCGTGCCTGGTGCACGGGAAGGCAACGTGTCGGTCGCATTGATGACACGGGCAGGGTTGGGTTGCTGCCTGCAGAAAATCCGGCCCTGTTGACCCGAAATGGGTCGGTTTCTGTTGCCCTGCGCTGGGTAGGTGAGCTGGCGAACGCGGTAATGCCCAGCTTCGGCCCAGGCGTCCGCAAACGTTTTTGTTGCGGCGACGGGCGGTAACACGGAGGCAAGCTTTAAAGACCTGGGACGGCGTGCCACAACACGAGAGGCGTCTCGCGTTGTCGGCGGCCGCAACAGCATCAACACAAGCAGCGCACTTTAAACAGGCTGGCACGTTGTCATAAAAGAGAATGAGGCCTCAAGGGGGCCAGTGGGGGCTCACAAAACCACGATCGGCACGATGAAGAGGACCAAGCCTTTTCTTGAACAGTGCTTCCATTATGGGGCAGTTCGAATAGTGCCTGATTGAATCGAGGTCAGAGTCGACATCAGAATTCGCACATCATGCGGAAGGACATCGCAGATCGAGCAAAAACCAAATCCAGCTGACGAGTCTGG